TTTAATTTTTTAGAAAACATAGCAAATATAAAATCTTTGTAAGCGATCTCTTTATAATTTTTATACTCAATTCTATTAAGGTATTATTTACATACCATAAAATTCACCTGTTTTAAGTGCGTAATTCAGTGTTTTGGTACATATTACAAAGTTCCTCAACCATTGCAATAATTCAATTTTAGAACATTTTTATCACCCAAATAACATCCCTCTATAAACTATAATTTTAAAAATTATGGAATATTTCAAAATCTGTAAAAGTAAAAAGAATAACACCCATGTATACATATCACACAGATTTAACAAATGTTAACATTTTGCAAGCCTAGACTTTTAAAAAAATTAAACTTATTGGGGTGACTTTGGTTAATAAGATTATATAGGTTTTGGGTGTACAATTCGATGATACTTCATCTGTATATTGTACTGTGTGCCCACCACCCAAAGTCAAATCTTCTCTCATCACCATATATTTGATATTTGCACAGAGAGTGGGCCACAGACCCAGAGCCTCTGACAGGCAATAAATTTCATAACAATATTTATCTTTTTACTTAAAAATTTTTTTTATTGATTTTAGAGAGAGAGGGAGGGAGAGAGCGAAACATCAATTCATTGTTTCACTTATGCATTCATTGATTGATTTTTGTATGTGCCCTGACCAGGGATCAAACCGACAACCCTGGTGTAGCAGGACAATGTTCTAACCAACTGAGCTACCCAGCCAGGGTAAAAAACAGACCCTTAATTTTGAATGAAGGAGCCTCTGAGAGGTAGTGCTGCTGTGTGGTCAGTTCTCTGGTAAGAAAAAGTATAAGAGATAAGAGATTAAAACCAGTCAGGAAATTCACAAACTGATTCCAGATTTTATACGCAAATACAAATGATCTAGAATAGCCAAAATAATCTTGAAAAAGAGGAACAGAGTTGGAGGACTTACATGATCAGATCTCAAGGCTTACCATAAAGCTACAATCATTAAGACAGTGTGGTATTGGCAGACATAGACAAATAGATTAGGGGATATGTTTTTTATTGATTTTTAGTGAGAGAGAAAGGGAGAGAGAGAAAAAAACATCGATTGGTTGCCTCCCGTAATTGCCCAACTGGAGATTGGACCCACAACCTAGGTATGTGCCCTGACTGGAAATCGAACCCAAAACCTTTTGGTGTTTGAGAAGACATGTCAACCAACTGAGCCACCCAGCCAGGGCCAAAGAACTACCTTTTAATGTTTATTATAAAGCAGGTCATAAAGAAAGCCTGATGTAATTTTGCAAATAGGAATTGAATGCCTTCTATGTGTCTGATTCTGTGCTGGGCACCAGGCCAGGAATATGTGACTCTAGGCAGCTGCTGGGAAGTAAACGTGGGAGGAAGGGAAGAGGTTGGCACTAGAGACTCAAGGAAAAGCTGCATTCAGTGCATATTCCATTAGAGATTAAAGCTGAGGCTGGGGGGAGGATAGTGTGTGTGTGTGTATGTGTGAAAACTGGGGAAGTGTGTGGGGGGGGGGACTCTGTGGTGGCTTTAAGACTTGGTAATGACAGCTCTGGCTAGAAGAGAATAGTTCCCCTCCCCCGTCCTGGATCGGACCTGAAGTTGGCAGAGCTGGGAAGGGCAAGGCAAACCTATCCCCAGGGCTTTATCAACATTCCACTTCAGTCAATGCTGAATCTGCCCGAGCCAAGGAGGGAAGTTCAGGCCATGCTCCCCCAAATTTAGATTCAGTAAATCTGGGTTGTGTTTGCAGGTATGATGGATGAGAGATGTCCAGGACCAGCAATTAAATTTAAAAAAAAAATTTTTTTTAAATATTTTTTAATTTTTCAATTATAGTCATCATTCAATATTATATCAGTTTCAGGTGTACAGCATAGTGGCTAGACATTTATATTACTTACAAAGTGATCCCCCCAATATTTCCAGTACCTGCCTGGCACCATACATAGTGATTACAATGTTATTGACTATATTCCCTATGCTGTACTTCATGCTGAAATTTAAATGTTTAACAAGCTCTCAAATGATTCTGGTGCAAGAGGGTAAAATGGGTTGTTTCTTAAACTCAGAAACACTGCCTAGGGGGAACTGCATCTAATTTTTTACAGGTGATGTCCTTCTAAACTCAAGTCTAGCCTAAATCCTTTCTGCTGCTGCTATAATCACCACACCCTTCCTGCCTGTTTGGTCAGAAATAAAATGTTGGTAAACTTTTAAATATTCTGCTGCTGGATATAGGCCAATACGTATAAGGCACCCCAAGGAGTTAAGTGAAGTTTGAGCTCATGATTATTTCTCCTTTATTCCTTGCTCCTCTGGACGGTGCTGTCTCCCACTGTAAACTACATTCAGAACTTCTGAGTCACCCATACAAGGGAGAAATCGAGTTGTTCCCGGGAGACAGGATAGCTATTCTTCTATTTATTTATTCAAAATGTATTTATACCAAGTTGCTGAGTGAGTGGAGTAGCTGGAACTCTCACACACTGCTGGTGGGAATGTTAAATGGTACAATCACTTTGGAAAACAGTCTGTTTCTTGTAAAATTAAAACATAGACTTGTCATGTGATCCAGCAATTCCACTCCTAAGTGTTTATCTAAGAGAAATAAAAACATATGTCCACCCAAAAGACTTGTACAGAATGTTCATAGCAGCCTTACCCATATTAGCCAAAAACTGGATTCAACTGTATGTCCATTAATGAAAATTGTGGTACATGCATAGGATGGAAGGATACCAGGCAATAAAAGGGACTGAATTATTGATATGATCAATAGCATGGATGGACCTCAAACACATGCCAAGTGAAAGAAACCTGACACAGAAGTGGACACACGGTATGGTTCCACTTAGATGAAACTCCACTCTGCAGTAATAGAAAGCATATTAGGGGCTGCCAGTGGCTGGGTGAGGGGTGGGGATTAACAGATGCGAGATCAAAATAGTCTATATCTTGATTGTAGTTATAGTTACATATGTCAAGCACATTGTACTGTGCATTTTAAATTGGGGCTTAATTGTGCTTCAATAAAATTGAAAAAATAGGGTAAAAAAGGAAAAATATATTATGCCATAGATTATTCAACCAAGAGGTCATACAGAGCAGTCAGCAAGTCTAAAAATCTGGCTCATAATTCTCTCATCAGTTCACTGTGTGTAGTCAGGAGCAGGAGAAATAGGTATTCTTTTTTTCCCCCTGCTTAAAAAAATAGCTTACTTGCAAGATTATTCAATGTAAGAAGTAAAGTCCTTGTAAACCCAACCTGTCAGAGGCCACCACTGGGAATGGATTACTCCTCCAGCTTATTTCTAAGCTTATATTGTAACATATATTATTAGATAAATAGTTTAATATTACTGTTTTTAAAAAGTACGTTTTTATTGATTTCAGAGAGAGGAAGGGAGAGGGAAAGAGAGAAACATCAACTGTGAGAGAGAATAATAGATCAGCTGCATCCCGCACACCCCCTACTGGGGATGGAGCCCAAAACCAGGGCATGTGCCCTGACCAGGGTTGACACTCAACCACTGAGCAACACCAGCGGGCTACTAATGTTATTTTTAATTATTATTTACAAGTATAAAACCAAACATATTAATAGGATTTATATTTGTCTTATTAAAGTCTAGTATTTACAAATATAAAATCCTATTAAAACCTCTTAATAGGTTTGTTTTTTCAATGTTTTCATATGACAATTTACTTTATCTCTTTCCATACTTAATTCTTTTTTACTTTTTGTCTCTTTTATGGAAGCTTAACTTATTTAACTGGTTTCCTTTTGAGGGACCATTTGTTGCTATTTTTCATCCCTAAAAACAACAGTAATAAACATCCTACATCCTTGTAATTACACAGCATGAGTATTTCTGTATATAACTGGGCTTCCTAGAAATTTCTTGGTGAAGTTGCTTGGTCAAAAGCCACAACAGCCGGCAGGCGGGCGAGGCTCAGCAGTTGAGCATCCACCTAGGATCCAGGAGATGGAGATTCGATCCCCAGTCAGGGGTGTGCAGGAGGCAGCCGATGGATGACGACTGTCTCATCCTTGATGTTTCTATCTCTGTCTCTCCCTCTCCCTTCCTCTCTCTGAAATCAATAAAGATATATTTAAAAATTAAAAAATTTTTAAAAAGGGCATAACAGTTTTAAGGAGGGAAAAAATTACTCCCTTCCTGCTGCATGATATGTGGAAACTTTCTCATATTCCCTTGTAGTCCATACCCTTCAAATGGAAACATTATTCTGACTTCTCTCTCACCTTGAATTAATACTGCCTGTTTTGAACTTTGTAACTTTTGGAACCACACAGACTATATTGCGTATTTAAACTAAATAGTCTTTCCAGCTACAAGTAAATGATGCTTTGTAACCTGCTTTTCCCTCTTAGCACTACCTCAGGAACATTTTGCCAAGGTCCTACAGTAAAATCACGATTTTAAATCGCTGTATGGTAAATAGGAATGTTCTTGGTTATATTTACATGTGTATTTGTTTACTTTTTACGCGTGAGGGAAGAGGCGTTCAGAGAGCCCACACGGGGCAAGGGAAGAGCCTGGGCCTCACACCCGCGCCTCGGCCACGCTCACTCTTCCTCCGCCGAGAGCCGAGGGCTCACACATGGGCAGCGCCTCGCAAGACGGCACCGTGACAGCAAAAAGAATTACTAATAAGTATTAATGACTCATGACAAGAGGACAGAAGACAATTACCTTAATATATTAGGCGTCTTAGTAATGTCTGTGCAGTATTATTCACGCCCATATTATTAGCCTGTGTCACGGGCAGCGGCTGGGTCCAGAACCGCTCATTCCAGATGTGCAGGGGCGGGGACTTCCAGGGACACGCCCCAGCCGAGCTGTGAGGAGCCAATCGGCGCACCGAAGGCGGGGCCCTGGGAGCGACAACGGTGCCGCCCAATAGGCCGGCCTCCGGGGCCGCCGCTGACCAATGGGCGCGCTCCTCCGGGACGGTCGGAAATGGTAAGGCGGCTCCGGGGGCCGTTGTTCGGCGCCGAGGTTGTCTGAGGCTGCTCGGTGGCGGAGGCTTGCGGGTCAGCTCGACGTCCTTCTTCCGATCCTAGGTGAGCGCGGCGGCGGCCCTCGCCTGGGGGGGCTCCCTGGGGCCTCCGGTTCGCGAGGAGGCCGCTACCCTGAGGTAGGGGTGTGTGGGCGAGGGGGCTGTAGGCCCCGGGGGTCGCGGCCGCTGGGAGAAAGATGCCCGCGCCGCGGCGTGTCCTCAGCCGGTGGCGGAGGCGGCGCTTTCTCCTCAGGGAACCGGTGCCTCGACAGACCCAGGCGGCGCTGCCGCCGCCCCTTTCTGGCCTTGGCCCCGGCGGCTGGGAAGCGGGCGT